GAGCACGCGTGTCTATAGCTATCTTCTTCTTGTCTTCATCGCTCCACTGATGAGGGACCTTTGGAATCTTCCGTTCAGGAATCGCGGCAGTCGTAGCTGTTGCTGGAACAGCCGGAGCAATAGCAAATGGAATATATGGCCCATTTTATATGTAATGTGAAATTTTAGGATCCACACCTTCAAGAAAGAGGAACATCCGGTTCTTCCAGATACTAAAGTTGTCACAGACGAACCGGGGAGGTTTGGCAAGAGAGACATTGTCTTGTGTATGTGTGTTTGTAATTTGTAAAGCCATTTGAAAGCAGTAAAGTTATCTAAGGAAAGAGATAAGCTAATACAGAAAAACAGCTAAGCAGATTTGAGAAGAGAGAACATTGCTCTGATACCACTTGTTGGTCCCTTGAGGGTCTACAAGATAAGTAAAACAGTTTGTAGAAGGGGGGATGAATACAAACACAATATTTTCAAATTTAAAATATATATTCATAAGGAAGATCAATACAAATTTTACAAGACTGTTTGCGGAAAGATAAGGTAAGAAAATCTATCTAAACAATCTTTAGTTACACACAGATTCTTAGTAAATGAGAAAAGAAATGTTGTAAGAAAAGTTCCTTTACTTAAGCTAGGAAATGTTCAAAGTAAGAATTAGGTTAAGAGAGTGAGTTGTGCGCACTCTGCATGGAGAAGAAACACATCTATTTATACCCAATGCATTAAATGTTCATTTAATGCACAATGGTAGGGTTAGAGTGTGTGTCAAGCCTTAAGAGGAAGGTTTGTCCTTTACTACAGTGAATAGTACAAAAAGCACTATTCATAAGCAGACATCCTTACCTAAAGTTGGTGGGCAATAGAGTCAACTAGTCGGCTCCGTACCGTACCAACGTTTAGAAGGGTATGTGTTTGTCCTTTGTGTGTATGAGGACAAGACAACAACAATCGTGCTAAGCAAGCTTCCTTTGATCGCTGAATGTTGGAATAACCTGGAGGTCTCTTCAGCATTCGCTAAGGCTTAAGCAAACTTCACACATATGTAGACAAGCTTGTAATCACTGAGTACCGCTTCAGATCACGTACTTTCCAGTCCCTAATCTTCAGTTTCAGTCTTTGATATTAGCTTAAGGTTCTTTGGTGTGAGTGTTGTCTTCTTGAAGTATCGCTGTCTCTGATTGAATTACAATACAAGTTCTTCAGCGATCACTGAACAGACTCAGGGATGATAGCTGGAACTGAAAAGACAGAAACATAAATATAACGTACAAGTGAAAAGGGATTATCATCAAATCACTGAAAGAGAGAATCGACAATCTCTTTCTTTTCTTTCCTTTTTTTCCTGATTTTAGATGAAAGTTTAATATAACTGATCGAACAAATTTTTCTTAAATATTCAAAATTTCTACAATACCATAACTGTTACGAATTTATTTTCTGATGTGATTAAACGTAACAGAACCATCAACTTTATCGTATGTTTCTCTTATTTCATCCCAGATTTTGGTAGATTCTGAGAACACTTGTCCTAAAAAGAGATCTTTATTTATAGAACTCAGAATCTAAGAAAGGACAACTGAGTTGCAACGATCCCATTGTCATTCTAAGACAAGATCATTAGTTGGTCTGGGACAAGATCCATTAATGAAACCAATTTTGTTTTTTTGTCCAAAGCTAAAGTCATGAGCTGCCCAAACCTTTTGGTTTTCGGTTCCACTTAACTTGAAATTGAATAATGGAGCTCCACTGGTGTCACTAGGATGCAAGTACAGTGGATCTTCGAATTCCAAAGTAGTGACTTTGGATTCCATAGTACTAGCCGTGTCAGCAGTGGCATCAGCCAGTAAATAGAAACACACAAAGAACCTGAATAGCTGGAAGCAGGATTCCTAAAACACTCAGAGGTTCTAAGTCAAGCTAACTATTCAGATTCAGCAGCACAGAAGAACAATAGAGACAGATCTGGAAAGACCAGATCTAAAGGAAAGAACAAACAACCAAAAAGGATAAAGAATTAAGACAGGTACAACATTAAAAAAACAATAAGTAATAATAGAAAATACAAACAGATACCGAATCGAAAACCTGAACAAACAAAGATATAGATCTGGATGGACAAGATCTGGAAAAGTACAACGAGCAGACGGTACAAGCGTGAATAACCTCATGATTTAACAAACAAATATGGATCTGGATGGACCACATCTGAACAAGAATCAGAGAGTCCCAGGTATTACAGTGTGAAAGGTAAAATAAGATCTCAAAGATGAATCTTATAAACCAAGAACCACAACCGAGCATTTACTTACACGAAATAGGGGTTGAATCAACAGAACTTGTTTTTAACCAACAAAAACAGGATATAACAGAAAAAACAACAAGGAAAACACCACAATTATTACGCTGTGGATGGTGGATTAAGATCTCAAGGACCTTATAACCTATCACACTACCGTGCGATTACTTGTAAACAAAGAAGAACTAAACAGATCCTCAAAAGAAGAACAACAGAGGATAATAACCAGGCCAAAAAGAAACCTATCTCTTTAGAACCCAACAAGTGTAGCGAATGAGGAAGGAGGTCGAGATCTAATCACAGATCTCGTGAACCTAACACTCGTTTTGCGCACTTACTTGTTTTAAAACAGAAAAGAACAAGAAGAGAGAAAAGGAATAGATTCTCAAGAGATTTACACTAGAAGATAACAACGAATGGAAGAAATACCTATTTCTCTAGAAAGACCACAAGTATAGCAATGAGGACGATAGATCGAGATCTAACACAGATCTTTCAAACCTGTCACTCGTTTGTGCATTTACTTATTTCAAAAAAAGAGAAAAGAACAGGAAGACTTGCCTGGAACTCGGGGAAACGTTTCTGGCATACGAACAGATCTTAGACAAACAGAAACAGGGAAACAGATCCTACACAAGAGTGTATGGCTTTGATACAACTAACCAGCTTTATTCACAAACGTAAAATAGAGACAAAAATTACAATAAATCTATCTAAATCTTAGCTAGAATAGCTTAGAAGAACACATACATAAGCTAGCTTAAAGAGAAAGAAAACTGAGATCTTAGAGAGAAAATACAAATTTGATATGAATTATGGCTAAAAACTAAAAAGAAAGGCTATTTATATTTAAGCCATAAAGTTACAGAATACACCCTGAACTAAGAGAAAATAGTTCCGCTACCCTCCAAGATTTGACAAAAGTGAGGCGCAACTCTCAAGTCCTCCAACTTCTGGATTGTGTACTTTTCAACCATATAACTTCACAACCTTGCACAAAGTAACTAAACATAACCAAAAGTTGAAAGCAACACTTGATTATGTCAACTCTAAGAACGAACTCGTAAGGGGGCGTTTGGTCCGCAGAATGATTTCTAAAGAAATGGAATCTGTCAAAGGAATTGGAATCTGGAATGAATTGGAATAGAATGTTATCAAGTTTGACCAAGTGTTTGGTTGGCATAAATGAATTTTAATCTAACTAATGAATTTGAATCTTCCTGTTTGGTTTGCAACAAAATTGCAATGGAATGATTAAAAAAAGACAAAAATACCCTTTCTTTGATATTTTTTTAAATTTGTTTGAATTTTTTTTTTAAAATTAATTACAAATAACAATAAAATTAACATTTAATAAGAAAAAAAATGTTTACCATTTACTGAATCGTATATAAACATAAAACGTGAAAAACAAATTCAAGCAACCATGAACCAAATCGTTCATAGAAGTTGACACATCAAATATTGTTACCAACAAATGTTTACACGTAGGTAGAAGTTGTCGAACCATATCATCCAAGCAATATAGGTAACACAAAAATATTGTCCAAGCAATATGTAACAAAAATATTATCCAAGCAATATAGATCGATCATTAGTCTAACATAACCAAAAAAAATATTGTTTTTACCACCAATTGAGCATTGGTCTAACGTAACCAAAAGATATTGTTTTTATCACCAGCTGATCATTGGTCCAACATGAAACGGTCCTAGTTTTCACGTCTTTCCTCCTTCAAGTTCCAGAAAGTGATCACAGATTCAGAGTCCTTTGTTATCTTTCGCAATGCACAAAACATTTTAGTTTCTAAAAATGTCCCGAAGTTCTCAATCTCATCGGCAATCATGGAAGTTTTTTTTTTGCATTTCAACTTCAACTTCCATTAACAAAGTCGATGCTTTCATAAGTTTGTCATCAAGCTAAATGTTGCATTGTTGATTACCTCATCCAAAGAATCATTCATGTTTCCTTTTCTTGCTACCACTTATGCACTCTTGACTTTGCACATTTGTGAGTGCATGAGAGGCATCATCTTGATCATCAAAAAAGTTTTCATGGAATTGATTGATATGGTCTTCCATGCTTGCATCCTCAATCTCCATTGCATCTCTTGCTCTACATTAGCTCTGTCTTTGCCAAAAACAATGCACAAATCCTCAAAATGAAGAAAATGTCTTGTTTTTCCATTTCCTGGCCTCTTTGTGAACCTATAGTATATCATAAGTTGTAACATTTAATTATAAAACAACCTATATCATAATTACACCAAAAACAATTCTAATATACCTGTAGATAGGCCTCCCAAACTGGTGGTTCAGCAATCACACAATATTTTTCACTATCAAAACCAAACCCGCTAGTATTGCTACCATGCACCATGTCATAAATAACCTGCCAGTCTTTTTTCATTGTCTTTATCCTTGACTTAACATGGGGTTTACCCAATATACCAGAATTGGGAAGTGATTCTTTTAGCGCCGGTTCCAAGTGTTGTAAACATCCAGATTTGAAGCCATTGTCAGTTTTATACACTACATTATTTACCATAGTTACCAAACTTTCAACCAGTTTATCATCTTCTAGCGCAAACCAGACTCGATAGTTTCTTTCATGACTCGTCATAACTATGGTAAACATAAACATAAACATAAACATAAAATCAGTTCGAATAGAAATAGATAAATTCATCAAAAATAGGGTAGACATAAATTCAATTGGTAACACTCCAAGATTGAAACATATCTTGAGCTAAACTATCTTTAAATGCAGTCCATACGTTTGATGTCCCAACAAAAGTGATAACGTCCTCATCTGCGGTTCCATTGTCTTCATCTTTCATTCCAACCTCTGATTCAATCTCAAATGGATCAATTGGAATTTCTTGCTTAAAATTATGGAGAAGACAACATGACATTATGATCCAATTTTTTAGGTCAATCGAATAATATGAATTATATTTAAAAATACAAAGCTTGCTTTAAAAATACCAAAACATCTTTCTATAACATTTCGTGCAGAAGAATGCTTCATGTTGAAAAATTCTCTTGCTGTTGTTGGTTGGGTCCCTCACGCCAAGCATTTAAATGATACTTTTGACCTTTATAAGGGGAGAGGAAACCCTCCCCATTTGTGTACCCCGCATCTACTAAGTAATAACATGGCCTTGGCACTTTCAATCCATATGGCCTAAGAAGTGCATCACGAAGAACTCGACTGTCTACGGCTGAACCATCCCATCTAGGTAACACATAGATAAATTGCATATTTTGTGAACAAACACCTAAGACATTTGTAGCAATATCACCTTTTCTTGTTCTGTATCTAGGTCTGTCTTCAAGTGATACTAAACACTTCATATATGTTCCATCTAGAGCTCCTAAACAATTCTAGAATTAAAAAAAAAAACAAATGGTTATTATATGTTTTATGTTACTTACGTGCTAATAATAATAAAATAGTTACATATACCTTGGACCACTTCCATCTTCCATCGGTGGAGTCCGCAAGAACAAGTTCAAGTTTCTTAAACAAATATGGATGTAATTTTATCACTGCACTACAAACTCTCCTAAAAACTCTACTAATGGTTTCTCTCGAACGATGAAAATGACATGCCATTACCCGATTCTTAACATTATGAGCAATAATGTGAAGAAAAATGACAACTTGTTCATCAATACCCATATTCTTACTTGCATGTAATCCTCCTAAAAGCATATCACATAACTTACTAAAACACCTTTTATTCATCCTAAGATGTGATATGCAAATAGTATCACTCTCATAAGCATACCTATGTAATATTGAATATCGATCCACATTTAACAAAGAATACCGAATACATGATTTATCCATTTGTTGTTGCTAAACTAAGTCTAGCCATTTCCTGTTCCAAAAAACAAAAGTTATTAACAAATTGAGAAACCCGTTTTGTGAAAGTCTTTTGCATTGTATACATATGTATACACAAACACATGTAACCCTTTGCATTAAGAAGTAGCAAATTGAGAAAATAGCAGGTACAAAAAGTAGCAAACAGTAGTAGAAATTGCATTCTACCATAAGCTTTCAAAACAGTACCAAACAACAGTTACAAACAGTTTTCTACCATAAGCTTTCAAACCATCTGCCATAATGTTCATAACAGGAGAAATTGCATTCTACCATGAGCTTTCAAACCATCTAGCAAACAACTTTCAAATTGAAGCAAACATTTTTCAAATTGAAGCAACCAGATAGAAATTTCTTGCCATAACAGTAGCAAAGAACAGGTACAGATAGTAGCAAACAACAGGTACCAGTAGCAAACAGACGGTAGGAACAATGCATCTAAAGAAGAAGTAGCAGAAAATTGAAGAAAGAAGTAGCAGAAAATCGAAGAAAGAAGTAGCATAAATCATACAAAGAACGCAGGAAATCGAAGAAACAAGTAGCATAAATCAGAAGTAGGAAGCAGAAAATCAAGAAACAAGTAGCATAAATCAGACATAGGAAGCATAAAATTGAAGAAACAAGTAGCAGTTCGATCGAGCAACAATGTTCATAATAGGAAAAATCAACGGATGAAAGCAGAGAGAAGCAGTGTTCGAAGCAGATGAAAGCAGATAGAAGAAGTGTTCAAACCTGTGTTCGATTGAGAAGAAGAAGATGGAAGCAGTTTGATCCAAAAGAAGTAGAAACAGTGTTTGATCAGAAGCGAGTGGGAGAAAGAATAGAGCGGCTAGGGTTAAAACAATGTATTGAGGGTATTTTTGTCATTTATATAATTTGGGATTGAATGGATTTTAATTCCATCACTTCCCCTAAAGAATAGTTAAATCCTTCAAATGATGGAATCCTTGGAGTTCAATTCCATTCCAAGGGTAACCAAACGTTAGAACGGAATTTGGTCAACGGAATTGACAATTCCAATTTCATCAGATTTCGGCGGATTCTGACGAACCAAACTCCCCCTAATACATTTCTTATAAAATAATTATTAACCAGGAGAATGATGTAGAATGTTGCTTCTTTATTGTTGTTGTGTATATAATTTGTGCCATTTTTGCCCAGAATTTGTGTCAATCAATCATATTGTTATTCTCGGGTCTTTAGAGCATCTACAACAGTTTCTCTAAAATGAAGAATTAAAATCTCCAAAAAAAATTTATTTTTTCCAGCAACTATCCATTTTAGAGATTATAATATAAATTATATTATTAAAATATTCAATACATTTCATAAAATATTTTTTACCTCTTCTATACATTTAATTTCAATGATTATAATTGATAGAAAGAATAAAAAAGTATTTTCTCTTTCATACAAAATTATTTTTTGGGAGAGTTTTTCAAATTTAAATAATTTGATTCTTTTTATCATATACTTTCACCATTTTGGACAACGTTTTGAGAATCTATTGGAATAAAAATATACAAAATTTCTATTTTGAAAAATTTGTTGAAGATGATTGTAGGATCGATTAACTCGGTTTCTTGGTATTAATTACTTACTTGGATGATCTGTTTGACAGTGATGATGCAGCGGAAAAGATAAGAATCAACCAAAGTAGAAATCAATAAGAACACAGTGATGAAGATTGATGAACACAAGAGAGAGCTTCAATTGATTTTCAATAGAATGAAAATGTTAACAATTACAATA